AGGAGTCACATAAGCCGATGCTTATGCTTCAGATACTTCTTCTTCCCCAAACCACTGGAGACCCGGCCCCATACTCCAGGGGGCTGATGCGGCTTCGCCTTCACTTTCTGTTTTTACACTTGGACTGGAGGGGCGACATATACAGGGACTGATCCTCTCCAGGAAAATGTTCATTATGCTATTTAAAATAAAAAATGCAAAAGTCTGAACCATTTTATTTCAGTGTGGCCCGTGACTGGTAACCAAATCACTTAAGTGTGGCTTTCTCTCTTCAAAAGTTGAGCACCCCTGCTATAGTGTCACTTGACTGACAGCTCTGAGGCTGTTGGGGCTGCTGACATCACATCCAAGATGGGGGCGTCTAACAGCAGTCTCAGACTTTTTGGTGGTCTATGCAAGAGAGCTTTTTCTGATAAATAAATTGTATAAAATACATTAACTGCACAAATATCCTTATGATACTAATACAGCTGAACTCCAGGTGGCAAGATAAATAAAAAATTGAGCTTTTTCCCTGCTAAATGATTTATAGTTCTGTCCATACATCCCTCAGATTTACACAGCCCTGCCACACTGCAAAATCCAGGTAGATGACACCAGTAGTCCAGTTATGGTTATAGATGGTAGGAGCTATATGTTGGTGTTCTTTTTCCACCTTCAACTTGATCATTGGACAGTTAAAGGCCAACAGCCAACTAATATGGTTAGATGTCCACTCATATGTTCTGTCCTTCAATCAGCATGCTACTTGTAATTGAATCTGCATGCAGCACACCTGTTTTGCCTTCAGCCCTGCTCTTTACTATGCTATGCTATAAAGGGGATTGCAAGAGGCTGATAACACATCAAATTCAGGTACTTACACTGGTTGCCATTAAAAAAAATACACATCTTGATTTACTAATGAATAACTAGCTGCATTCATTTGTGTCTTGGGCAGGATTGGGGATACCTACCTGGCACATTATGTACTCTGTACCTTGGTGTATACTTTTTACTCCTATTTTGAACTGTATCTGCAGTGCCATAGTCATGCATCTATCTTCATAAATAACAATTATTTAAGAATTCTGTTTCATCTTTCTACTTTTTAAATTCCTTGATGTATTTGAGAAAACCTGTCACAGTCAAGTAATTGATTTCAGTTGATAAATTTCTTTTTGAATATAAAATGTGTAAGCATCCCTGTTGTCGCATAGGAGGACATTTATTACAGAACCATTTGGGGTACTCTCTGGTAAGATGGGACTAAATATTTCTTGAGGAAAATGTTATGTAGCCAATAGCAATAAATCAGAATTACTTTTTCAGTAATCTGAATGCAGTTGTGCACTTTGTCCTTAATGGTAGTTTGCCATATTCAGCTAGACTTGTTTTGTAATGATGAAAATGTTTCTCCAATCATCCAAGTGGCTTCCTCAGTTCAGATGTGTGTTAGGAACATACCCCAGCCTTTTATACCCACATGAATAATTCAGTTACTTTAACTCATAAAACCACGGTGTGATGAAATGTGTCCTATCACTTAGGCCCCTATTACATGGGGCAGACTCTATTTGGATCAGCAAGCAACCTGTCCTCTGTTGAGCAGAGCAGAGTGGGCAGAGGACAGGTCTGTGTCCGCTCAGGTTATCCAGAACCCACACTGCTCTATGGGCGGCTGAGTGTAAACAGACTCTGCCGTCCACTAACACTGGACTGCCCTCCGATCCGATCTGTTTAGACCAGCCTTTCTCAACCTTTTCAACACAAGGATCCCTTGAAATAATGTTTCAGTCTCTGGAACCCCTACTAAAACTACAATATCTACATCTCATGATACATTAGTGTGATGGTCAATGGGAATAATTCTCCTTACACCTGTGGTCATTGGGAAGAATGACCCCTTTACAAAAGGTTCAGTGGTGTCAGTGGGAACCTAACTAAGAGGCAGAAATTGCCCATTGCTAAACGAAACCCTAGCAACCTCTGGAGAAACCCTAGGGTTTCATGGAACCCTGGTTGAAAAACCCTGGCCTAGACAGAGGAGGACATATCCCCTTTTTGCTTTTTAGCTAACCGAATCAGAGGTAGACAGGTGTAAATGGACTCGTGCCTGCTCCATAGAGGTGAACAGACCAATCGCGCAGGTCCGCCTGAAAAACTATCAGGCGGACCTGATTGGAATGGCTTCCTGAAAAGGGCCTTACTGACAAAGCCACTTGGTTGGGAAAGGAAACATCTTCATCATTATAAAACAAGTCCGGATGAATGTGACTAACTATTAGCTCTAGATGACCTTCATAAAAGAAAACCTAGAAAATTGATATCTTTATTTAATCCATCAACCATAAAAAAGTAATCAATTCCTAAAAATTGACAAATTTCAGCTTTCTACATAGGTCTTTGTCATAAATAATTAAAACCTGACAGGTGGTCTATTCCCTTTCCACTCTATCTAAAACAAGAAAAAGTTTTGCCTTTAGTTATTCTTTAATATCGTATTCTGATTTCACTGTACCCCATAAGCTTCTCAGAGTGTGCATGGAAGCTACAGCAAGTCAGTTACATCATTTTCCTTTCCTCCCCAGCCTTACTGTCCCTGGCCCACAACTATCTTCATTTATTGGATTTCAGTACTTTCAGTTGGAGGCTCAGCATCATATCAGGGCATTACCTATGGTGGTCTGAATGCAAACACAGCTAATTTTGAATGCCCACTTCTCCAGACTGACATCCTCCCATCAAGGCATTTTTATGTTTGCCTAACCCCTTCCAAGAACCAGCCCACTGTTTCCAGGGATGATGACTTCTGAAAGAACTACTGAGGCTGTAACATTTTCAGGAAGCTAAGTACAGGATCCTGATGGTCCCTTCCACCAGCCATGAAATGCCTGCATTGCATAAAGAAGCACAGAAATACAGTAATGATGCCACCAAGTCTAAAATAATGTATGCTGTGAAAACATAAACTTTTTTTTTTATGTCATTAGTATGTTGATGGGGGATGTTTGTTAATGTTTTTATTGCCCTCCTTGCCTTCTTATCCCACTGAAAATGGCATTCCCCAATTTCTTCTATGGACATCTCAAACAGGATATGAGGAAAAATCTCCCAAGTGGAGGTCACATACAGAAAAATAAATTAATTTGAACAATGGCACGTTTGATAATTTCATCAAAAATTACTTTAGTAAACTTTACTCTAAAGTGTATGTAATACTTACAAAATATTGTTTTTCTGTAAAAGCCCAATTCAATTTGAAGGCACTGGACTTTGCATGCTCTTTAATGATAATGTGTGTGACTACAAAAAATATAAGCACATTTGGCCACTAGAACATACCATAACCTTGAAATAATCTCTTTATATTAACATAGCAGACAAAAAAACCTTCTAAGACACAGCAGAATACTAGGGGGAAGACATATTGTGCTAGGCTGAGCGGCTTAGTGTCATCTATTCAGTTCAATTCTCTGGCATGCTTCTCATTCTGAGTGCATTCCACATTGTAAAATCCTCCAGTTATTTCTTAGTTTGTAGAAATATTGATGTGCAACTTTTTTTTCCAGAGTGACTCATAAAAATAGTCAGCATTGTGACTTTATAATACCTGTTTCATAAATGTGATGGTTGCCGCATTGTGTCCTCAGGTGCCGCGCGTCAACGATTGACTCCTTGTGAGAGACGGAAGCTTAGGAGTCTCATTGATATTTTCTAATGGGCTTTAGAGTGCAAGAAAGGCCAAAATTCAACTAGGCAAGACAAGTATCTACCTAGAGGGTCTCTTGGCAAACAGAGCATTTGCTGATGTGCATAACAATGTCTGCAAAGGAATTGTATAGTATTTTATATCTTAGGTTGGACACAGATGGGCTAATCTACATATATAATGAGGCAATGACCAGGGTAAGCAGTGTTAATGTGTTAACACACAACCCATAGGTGTCCATAGGCCTTTAAATGTACAACTCAGGTTCTAGTTTAGGGTAGGGTGACAACACATTAGAACTTTATTTAGATTTTTTTTTTTACTACATGTCTCCTTTGGAGAGATCTACCTCATTTGTTCTGGTGGCCATTACCACCATAATAACAGGTGAAAGGAAATGTAATGATTTACATTTTCACTGAAATGTGTGTAGAGTGTCCACAGGGGATACCCGTTTCTGGGAAAGGAAGTCAAGCACAATATCAACATACCTCCCAACTTTTTGCGATAGGAACAAGGGACACCTATTAGCAAAAGTATGTAGGCATAGAAAATACCCCCTGCCACAGGAGAATTAGACAAAAAAAAATGATTAGTTAAACCCACAAGTGCTTTTTTTAACTACTACTATTTCTACTGTTTTTTTTTTTAATTTATAAATGCAGAAATTTAGAAACTGGATGAATGGTTTAGCACTGTGAAACACTTTTTGAAAGATAAATAGTGCATTTTTATACAAGTATATAGATCAGACCGAAATGAGGGATAAATAAGGAGGAAAAAAAGAGGGACTTTTTTTCCAACTCAGGGACAGTCCCTCAAAATCAGGGACAGTTAGGAGCTATAATAGTACAATGTTATACTGGAGGCCTGACCGCCCCTCCCCACCCATCTATAACATTGTACTGTGATCACAGATGTATACTGTAACAGGCCTGACCTCCCCTTCCTTACTGTATACTCTGTATACTGGATGTCTGACCTTCCCTCCATCTATAACATTGTACTGTGATCACACATGTATACCATACCAGGCCTGACTGCCCCTTCCATATCATGCTGTATACTCTATATACTGGATACCTGACCTCTTCTTCTATCTATAAGATTGCAGGGCTGGATCTAGCCAATATAATCTGGGAGTGCAGAAAAGAAAGAAAGAGAGAAAGTAAGGAAAGAAAGAAAAAAAGAAAGAAAAAAAAGATAGATAGATAGATAGATAGATAGATAGATAGATAGATAGATAGATAGATAGACTCTATTGCCAAAAGTATTGTGGCACCCCTCCAAATCATTGGAGCACCTAGACATGCAGACTGTTTCTACAAACATTTGTGAAAGAATGGGTCACTGTCAGAAGCTCAGTGAATTCAAGCGTGGTACCGTGATAGGTTGCCACCTGTGCAATAAGTCCATCTGTGAAATTTCCTTGCTACTAAATATTCCACAGTCAACTGTTAATGGTATTATAACAAAGTGGAAAACTGGGAACAACAGCAACTCCGCCACGAAGTGGTAGGCCACATAAAATGACAGAGCGGGGCCAACTGTCTGCAAAGTCAATAGCTAAAGACCTCCAAACTTCATGTGGCCTTCAGATTAGCAAAACAACAGTGTGTAGAGAGCTTCATGGAATGGGTTTCCATGGCCGAGCAGCTGCATCCAAGCCTTACATCACCAAGTGTAATGCAAAGCGTCAGATGCAGTGGTGTAAAGCACACTGTCACTGGACTCTAGAGCAGTACGGTACTTGCCTGACTGCATTGTGCCAAGTGTAAAGTTTGGTGGAGGGGGGATTATGGTTGGGGTTGTTTTTCAGGGGTTGGGCTTGACCTCTTAGTTCCAGTGAAGGGAACTCTTAAGGTGTCAGTATACCAAGACATTTTGGACAATTTTGTGCTCCCAATTTGTGGGAACAGTTTGGGGATAACCCCTTTCTGTTCAAACATGACAGCACACCAGTGCACAAAGCAAGGTCTATAAAGACATAGACAAGTGAGTTTTGGGTGGAAGAACTTGACAGGCCTACACAGAGTCTTGACCTCAACTGGATAGAACACCTTTGGGATGAAATAGAGCAGAGACTGCGATCCAGGCCTTCAATAGTACCTGACCTCACAAATGCGCTTCTGGAAGAATGGTCAAACATTCCCACAGACACATTCCTAAACCTTGTAGACAGTCTTCCCAGAAGAGTTGAAGCTGTTATAGTGGCAAAGGGTGGGCCAACTCAATATTGAACCTTACGGACTAAGACTGGGATGCCATTAAAGTTCATGTGTGTATAAAGGCAGGCACCCCAATACTTTTGGCAATATAGTGTAGATAGATAGATAGATATAGATAGATAGAAGGACGGGGGGGGGGGAGTCTGATCACAGTGCTCACTCATATGGATGGTCCCCGGAGGCTCACTTGCTCAGTCAGAGGCATCACATACTGTACACAATACAGCTGCCAGCTGCTCTGTTTAAAATCTCCTGCCCACACATCACCTTCACAGACATAACAAAGGCTGCACAGACTGTGGGCAGGCACAGGGGAAGAGGGGCAAAGGGAGGCAGAGCAGAGCAATAGTGTCAGTGGGTGCAATAATAACCCACAGCACTGAGGCCAGTGAATGCAAAAATATACCCCAGCATTGGTGTCAATAGACGTAATAATAAGCCCCAGCACTGGTGTCAGTGGATGAAATAATAACTGCCAGCACTGGTGTTAGTGGATGAAATATTAACCATCATCATTGGTGTCAGTGGAAAAAAAATAACTGCCAGCACTGGTGTCAGTGAATGCAACAATAAGCCCCAGCACTGGTGTCAGTGGATGCTAAGATGTAAGTGTCAGATATCTAGGATCAATAACCAGTAGGGGGAGCAATACAAGCTGGCCACCTACTATGTAGAGAAGAGATTGCCGACCCTGGGACCCAACAATCACTCTGTGTGCAATGACTACATCCTGGGCTCACTTAGTGAATACACCCCCTGGGAGCACAAAATTAAGGACAGATTTGGATTTTCCAGCACATTTTGCATTCTGTCCTTATACATTAGGATGTGCACCGCCAAGCTCAAACACATATGCGTGTCTCCCTCTCTCTGCATACTCCTATGATTCTCATACATGTCTATGGGAATGCAGAACCACCTTGAAGCAGGTCAACTGCTCCAATCGTCAACTGGAAGGATAGGTGGTGTAGCAGGGAGAATGTTGATGTTGCAGAATATATACTCTGAGGTTTGCAATATATTGTACTTTTAGCTTTGTTGAGCATATATTGCCTCCTCAATGTTATACTATATACTGACATGTTAGAATATGGAACAGGTGGCTAATTGAAACATTTTTAACTTGAATGGATGATATGTTTTTGTTTTTTTTTTGCTGGACCATAAGCCTTTACACATTACACATTTTTACACATTTACACATTTTGGTGTATTACCCTTTTTTGTCTTTTCTAAAGTTTAATACAAATATTGGAAAGAAACAAGCCCAAAGCCTTTCAGTACAGGTCCTTACTTTGTCTCGGGTCTGAAAATCATTATAGTTACTAAAAAGGAGCAAATTGACTTTAACTTTTCCTTAAAAACATGGGATCAATCTCCTGACCGGAGTATCATGTGGGAGGAGGTTTGTAGTATTAGTGATGTGATCTTCCTACCAACTGTATTTTGATTTGTAGCTCTTGAAACCGAATAAACATTATTGAAAGAAAAAAATACATGACATCAAGCTTTAAAACAGTTCATACTAGCAAATGTATTCTTTGTTTTCAGTATCAGCTATGAGTCAACTGTCAAGGCTGGTAAACCGGCCGCTACAGCAGAGCCACCAACCAGCCAGCAACAACAACAGCTGAGCAATGAGCTGGCTTCCGTTTCTTGGATGAGTCTATCCATGAGGGAGAAATTTAGAGATGTCACCAGAATGTTTAAAGAATACTCCGGCAAGTAAGTATTTCTTAAATCCATTGAGGCTCCCTATTTCTGAGGAAAGGTTTTCATGCGGATTGCATATTTTAGCAATATGAACATGTGGAAACCCAGCAAATGGTTTATTTTACTTGATTAAATGGGTCCACGTATATTTTTTTTTGATACCTGTATATATGTACAGCGAGGAACATAAGTATTTGAACACCTGAGAAAATCAGTGTTAATATTTGGTACAAAAGCCTTTGTTTGGAATTACAGAGGTCAAACGTTTTCAGTAGTTCTTGACCAGGTTTGCACACACTGCAACAGGGATTTTGGCCCACTTCTCCACACATCTCCTCTAGATCTGTCAGGTTTCGGGGCTGTCACTGAGCAACACGGAGTTTCAGCTCCCTCCAAAGATGTTTTATTGGATTTAGGTCTGGAGACTGGCTAGGCCACTCCAAAACCTTGATATGCTTCTTATGGAGCCACTCCTTGGTTATCCTGGCTGTGTGCTTCGGGTCATTGTCATGTTGGAAGACCCAGCCACGACCCATCTTCAATGCTCTGACTGAGGGAAGGAGGTTGCTGCTCAAAATCTCACAATAAATGGCCCCATTCATCCTCTCCTCTCCTTAATACAGTGCAGTCGTCCTGTCCCCTTCGCAGAAAAGCACCCCCATGGTAGTAGTTGGTGTCTGACTGACTGTCGGGTGGACAGGTGTCTTTAAAGAGCTCAGACAGGTGCTACTAAGTTAGATTAATGAGTGGAGTAGAGGTGGACTTTTTAAAGGCACAGTAAAAGGTTTTTGAGAGCCAGAAGTCTTGCTGTTTCTTAGGTGTTTCTTAGGTGTTCAAATGTTCAGCAGCGCAAGACAAATAAATTCTTTAAAAATCATACAATGTGATTTTCTGAATTTTTTTTTTTTAAATTCTGTCTCTCAGAGTGGGAATGCACCTACAATGTGAATTTCAGACCCCTCCATGATTTCTAAGTTGGAGAACTTGCAAAATCGCAGGGTGTTCAAATACTTCTGTTCCTCACTGTATATACACTATATTGCCAAAAGTATTGGGACGCCTGTCTTTACACGCAAATGTACTTTAATAGCATACCAGTCTTAGTCCGTGCGGTTCAAAATTGAGATGGCCCACCCTTTGCAGCTATAACAGCTTTAACTCTTCTGGGAAGGCTGTCCACAAGGTTTAGGAGTGTGTCTATGGGAATGTTCAACCATTCTTCCAGAAGCGCATTTGTGAAGTCAGGCACTGATGTCAGACGAGAAGGCCTGGGTTGCAGTCTCTGCTCTAATTCATCCCAAACTGTTCCCACAAAGTTGAGAGCATGAAATTGTCCAAAATGTCTTGGTATGATACCTTGAGAGTTCCCTTCACTGGAACTAATGAGCCAAGCCTAACCCCTGAAAAACAACCCCACACTACAATCCTCCCTCCACCATATTTTACACTTGGCATAATGCAGTGAGGCAAGTACCGTTCTTCTGGCAACCACCAAACCCAGACACATCCATCAGATTGCCAGACATAGAAGCTTGATTGGTCACTCCAGGGAACATGTCTCCACTGCTCCTTGGAGTCCAGGGGCGACATACTTTACACAACTGCACCCAACGCTTTGCATTGCACTTGGTGATGTAAAGCTTGGATGCAGCTGCCATCCATGAAAAACCCATTCCATGAAGCTCTCTGTGCACTGTTGTTGTGCTAATATGAAGGCCACAGAAAGTTTGGAGGTCTTTAGCTTTTGACTCTGCAGACAGTTGGCGACAGCTTGCGCCAACCCCACTCTGTCATTTTACGTGGCTACCACTTTGTGGCTGAGTTGCTGTTGTTCCCAGTTGCTTCCACTTTGTTATAACACCACTAAGAATAGCAAGGAAATTTCACAGATGGACTTATTGCACAGGTGGCAACCTATCACGGTACCACGCTTAAATTCACTGAGCTCCTGAGAGCAACCCATTCTTTCACATATGTTTGTAGAAGCAGTCTGCATACCTAGGTGCATGTATTTATACACCTGTGGCCATGGAGGTGATTGGAACACCTGAATCCAATGATTTGGAGGGGTGACCTAATACTTTTGGCAATATATATATATACAGTATATCTTAGGTTCATCAAAATAAAAATTGCTCTATCATGTCTTCTGCAACCCATCCTAACCTCCATATTTCTTTATAGGTGTCTTCGGGAGAACAACTGGGACTGGGATCAATCTCTAAACAATTTCAAGGGCCTGGTATTGAAAGGCCAAATTCCACTAATGTGCTTTTACTAATCTCACCAACACTTTCCTTTTCAGGTGCCTTTCAGACATGAAGTGGAGATAGGAGGATGCTGCAGATGTCTTTAAAAAGATGAAGGTAACACTATCAGTTTATACCTAAGGGGGCATTTATAAAGTGCAGCCATAGGGTTGTGAGAAAAAAAAACTGGGGGACAGCCTGGTTATTTCACCTATCAAACACACATAACCAGCTCTCTTCCAATCACAAAGCAGCTCTGTGACCTACCAGAGTACACACCAAGATCCCCACATTGTGAATTAGCTGTAAAATGTGGACCATGGTGTGTATAGCTCTATGGAGTATAATGGAGAGCAGATAGCGATAACTGCTCTCCATTATAAAAAGGCCCCTAAATTTTCTCTTCTGTCCACAATAGCTTGTTGTTTATTTTTTTAATTGTATTTAATTTTGAAGTTCTGCAGATGGAAAACCTGATTCCGGAGGACTTCTTCTACAGCACCAGGGGAAATTATGATTTGCGCTGCCCCAATAAAACTGCTACTGCCTACGTCAAAAAGTTATCAATGGGATCTGGACTTAAGGAGGATTGGGCCAGAAAGTATGTTTACATGATTACTTTTATTTCTATTTTGTTTCTTTTCTATGGGGTTCAGAATCACATCAGCTTTAAATGGATGGTGCTGCCTGGTCTGAACATCCTATAAAGTCTATTGCCAGTTTTAGTTGTCTGTTCATTATGCTTATATGTGTTAGTTCTTTACCTTTCAGAATCTTGGAGGTTGCCAACTGGAATTACATTCAGGCAAGACGGGGCTTTGCATATATGAAGCTAAAAGTAATCTAATAGAACTAGATTCGATTTTTCCACAATTTTTTATCACCCAGTAAGGGTTTTCCACACAAGCAATGTTGCCCAACACAGTCTAAATGCAAGCATGAGGAAAATAGCCTTGTTTCTTATTGTTTCCAGTTCACACTAATGCTCTCTCTTGGTTTGAACTGAAAAAAATAGGACATGTTGCATTTTTTCTTCAGTGTATAGTAATAGCATATACTACAAAAAAAGAAAAACAGGTGACAAAATGCACTGGAACACCTGTAAAAAATGCATTGCAGTGCCACTTAAAACACATGCCAGCATGCACCATGACAACCATAACTTACGCTTTTTAAAAAAATATTTTGCAGGCACAACAGGACATCCCTGCAGATGCCTTTGTTGCTTAGCTTCATAGGAGCATTCAAGTTTCACACCCTGTTATACAGAGACCTTTGATAGAAACTACCAAGCTTGTTACTCTGCTCTGCAGAGATTTTTTTATAGAAACCACCAAGTTTGTTACCCTGCACTGCAGAGATTTTTTTTATAGAAACCGCCAAGCTTGTTACCCTGCTCCGCAGTGATTTTTGTTATAGAAACTGCCAAGCTTGTCACCCTACTCCACAGGGTTTCTTCACAGAAACTGTCAGGCTCCGCCCAACGGGATCTCTAGTGGTCCACAGCACGGGATTTCCTAGGACGCAGAGTCTAAGTCCCAGTCTGCCTTTTCACCAGAGCCCCTGATGGTGGGGATGGACTTGGTGCAAGCCTGGAACCAGGTCGCGCCCCTGGGCACCCCCGGCGATGGTAGAGGGGTCCCGCTGAGGGTATGTGCCCGGGATGAGCCTGCTGTGAAGGGGCTGACAGGTCCCGATCCGAGCGAGATGGATGGATGACTGCTAGGAGTGAGCGAGGTCAGACTAGCCGGGTCGGTAACAGTGGGGACAGGTGCGGTTCCAAGCAGCAGGCAAAGAGTAGTCAGGTCACACGCCGGGTTCAGTAATAGAGGGTCCAAAACAATAGTAACTATAGGCAGAGGAATGGTCAGGGACGAGCTGGGGTCAGAGCAGGAGAGAGTCAGCATAAATCAGAACAGGCAGAGTTTGGCAACAAGGAAACGTACTAACAGGAACACAGGAACAGGAACAAGACCTTGCGGCAATGAGGACATTGCCTGGCCGGTTTAAATAGCACGCCCTGCAGCGTCATTGGCGCTCCCGTGTGCGCGAGTGCGCATGCACAGCCGCAATTGCCGCCGTGGAAGCCCAGGTCCTACTGCCCGACCGCTGATGCGCCTGGGCGATCCGCACATGCGCGGATTCGCGTGCCGCGGTAAGAACTGGGATCCCTGACAGAAACTGCCAAGCCTGGTACCCTGCTCCGCAGGGACTTTTGATAGCAACCACCAAAGCTTGTTACCCTGCTCCACAGACACTTTTGATAGAGACGTCCAAGCATATTGTAACCTGTCCTACAAAGAAACCACCAAGCTCTACAATCCAAATATATAAATGAACACATCTGGCCCAAATTCTCTGTTCTGTAAGCAACAACACATTCTATTAATGCAACGCCGCTGATTGTGAATCCAGAGCGTGTCAAGTACCATATGTACTTTTTCACAACCCAGATAAAATTGTTGTGCATTTGCCATAACAGCCCAGGAAGTAGCAATCTTCTGCAGAGTGGTCGAGTACCATATGTACCTTGCCATGTTCCAGATGTTCTTGCTGCAGCTTCAAGGGGACTAGGGGACCTTAACCAAGTAACCAGTTCCTTGGAAAGACCTAGGTGGCAGTTGATATGCAGAACAAATTCTGAGGACTGATACCAGGGTTCCAACACTGTCAAATAACCCTAATGCCCAGCTTTGGGGTACCTGCTGTCTTGAGGGACTTGAAGTATCAAGTTCTGCATCTCTCTGGCATCCAGCCAGGTTCCAGACCCCATCAGTGGGGCACCCAAGCAGTTGCCAGAAAGTAGAGTAGTATAGGAACTGGCCAAAGAGGGATTACTTTGACACAGTTGGCCAACTTAAACATGTATTGCAATGCATGTGAACCAAAAATCTCTCTTCTTATGCAAAGAAGTATAAAAGTGTATAGCAGTGTGCAGAGGGTTGATGCACGTGATGGGTTATGCGTACAGTATGTGTGAAGTTATTTGAATTTGAGCGCAGACATATTGCTATTTCGATTCTACAGAGAAGTTAGTTTAATAGAAACCACTAAGCTTATGTACCCTGTTCTACAAAAAATGTATATTATTCTAATAAATGGTTATACAAAAATTTGACCATTTATTAGAATGGGTTGTAATAAAACACACATGACTAGCTCTCCTCCAAAACTTGTGATGTGCAGGTACATGCGAATAGTGCCAACCACTGTCAGCCTGTCATTAGTTTATAGAGACTGACAGGCCACTGCTATTCGCATGACCCGGTCATTCCACTGGCAAGAATCTGCCACTACAATCTGCAGAATACAGACAACCACACGTGTGAAGGAGATCTTAAACTTCACAGATCTGGTATTACGCCAAGTACCCCTCACATTAGAGGTATTATATATAACCACGGCACCACCTGTCTGGAGTTTGCATGTTCTCCCTGTGCCTGCGTGTGTTTCCTCCTGGTACACAGTTTTCCCACACTCCAAAGACATGCTGGTAGGTTAATGGGATCCTAGAGGAAGAGACACAGTGCCTCTAAGTGTAGGCTGTATGACAGTTTTAATGGTTAAAAAAGTAAGTTTAGCAACTCACATCTTTGTAATGAAAAACAGGCTCAAAAGGGTAAGCGTGCAGAGCACCTATTTGCCAGATGGTGAAATCGCACTGGGAATAATGCCAGCCAATCAGGAGGAGGAGGAGGAGCAACATTGGTGGTAAAGCCTGGCAGGTTTCCTGGAGTGTTCGGAGTGGTGGCACTGGCATCTGACGTCATAGGGGTGTGACGCGTTTGTGAGCATGTGCGGGGACCGATGTGATTTCTCTAGAGCTCTGTTTCACTCTACCACAGCCTACCCTGGTGTCTCAGACTGATTACCCTCCGCCTGAACTTTGGGCCACATATCTATTAATTTAAATACTATGTGGACTGCATATTCCATGCGCCTGTCCACTCTCTTCATACAAGGTTAATTGGCTCCTGTCTAAATTGGCCCTAGTATATGTATGTATGAATGTAAATTAGGGACCTTAGATTGTACGACCCTTGAGGGTTAGGGACTGATGTGAATGTACAATATATATGTGAAGTGCTTCGTAAATTGATGGCACTATATAAGTACCTGAAATAAATAAATAATAAATACATAACAGAACCGCACTGCTCTTTTTTAGCAGGGCCTTTGCACTTGTAGGTGGGGCCCAGGGTACACAGTCAGGGAGAGACCACACACACAATTCTTGATGTTGTAATTTATCTTGTATGCAGGTTAACGATAATGAATAATTACAGTTTTTTGTAGGCACTGATATAGCACACTATAGCATACCTCACAACTTTCTGAGATGGGAACGAGGGACACCTATTAGCAAGAGCACGTAGGCATAAGACACACACCCTGCTATGTCCACTTAAAGGAAAATTATACAAAAAAAAATTATTCAAACCCACAAGTGCCCTTTTTTACCATTATTATTCCCTTATATTGGCTTTTGAAATTTGCAAATGCAGCAATTTAGAAATTGGATGAAAGGTTTAGATTGGGAAACACTTTTTGAAAGATAAAAGCGCATTTTCTATATAACTCTATGGATCAGATTAAAATGAGGGACAAATGAGGTGGAAAAAGAGACAGGGGGATTTTGTTCCAAATCAGGGACAGCCCCTCGAAATCAGGGACAGTTGGGAGCTAGGTATCAATAATGGGAGTAAAGAAAGAAACAGAGTACTAAAGATGCTCTAACTCTTCTCCA